TACTGTAGTACTACCGGTAATTTAACTATAATATTGAGTTATTCACATAATTATAGATTTTTTTTAATGTAGGTATTGGTTGTAGTATTCTTTAATATTAAAACCAAGTGAAAGTATACGTATTGTTTACGTTTCATTCCACTATCAGTGGATCTTCGTCAGGCAATGATGCTGGGAGCTGTTGTTAGCAACAGTATTCTGGATTAAATAGTGCCCCCTGCCAGCTGTCCTGTCAGGAGGTGCGCCGGACCGGAATTATTGAGTTTCTTATATCTGATTCAGGTTTTATTTTCGGCTTTCAGAATATCTTTTTTATTTATCTTTGTCCCTGATCAAAGAGTGTAGATAGAACAAGAAAGCATAGTCACATTTGTAAATTTGTCACTCCCTTAGCACGGGCGGATTTAGGTAGAAGCCGGGGCGGCCCCATTTTCCCCTTTTAGAAGGTTGAAAAAATTGATCGCCCAAGATGCCTCAGATGTTATTTTCGGGCCTTTAGAACACAAAAAATTCATGTGGGCATGCCCCGGCACCCCCTAGGGTAGTATTATCTCGATTGGTCCCCACTTTCACCCCCCCATTTGGGGGCCCCCCTTTTGGACATCTCTTGATCCGTCCCTGTTTGGTTACGATGGAAGTCGCCAACGTCGTTAGGGAGTGCGCCCACTACATATGACTTTACAGGAAGCACGCCTACTTCAGTGGTTTGATGATAAAGAAAAAGAAGTAAATTTAAATCATGAGGAAAACAGATAAAACAAGACAAATAACGTGCACGGTGCAGTACTGGGTATTAAAGAGCATACAAACAGCAACAGGCGCCCTCCACTGGCCATGTATAGTGTATCGTTTGTCTACCCTCTTGACGAGCGTACTAGGCTCTCTTGTTCTGTCTATATTCTTTGCCTTTATTTATCATGTTCATTGTTGTTTGTAGACTATTGATTGCTCCATTCAGGCTATTTATTACATTGTGGCTTTTAGCCTGACAATTTGGACAGCTAGGCCCATGTTTGTTCTTTTTTTATGTTTTTCTCACGACATTTACAAATGGTACTTTCGTGGCTAGAATATACATAGGAATCAACTGTACCTGATATTTGGCTGGAGTTGGTAATACAAATGAGTCAACCTGTCTATGTGCCAGCCGGCTTTCAATTTTTTTCTTTCTCCACCAGTCATTTGCTACAAATGGATTTAAAATTGAGAACTAGATTTGACAAGTAGTAGTACTAATTGAATTTGGGATAATAAAAGTTTGTATTAATAACTGGCAAGACATAATTTCAACCTGTTATTATTATGTTTATGTGACCCTTAAAAAATGACTTATTATTACCCACATAAACTTATTATTTTATAATAATTACATTTTAAACATTTACATAGAATTTATGTTCTTTTGTTAGAATAATAAAACCGGATTTTGTTGTCATTTGTGTCTCGTTTCAAATTGTATACTGGTTGAAAAATATAGTTGCAATTTGATTTTGTTTTTTTCTGTACATTTGAATAAACTGTATGCATAAACTATATTTAGGAACTATAGTTTATGCATACATTTGAATAAACTGTATGCATAAACTATAGTTCCTAAATATTTTGTTTGTATTTGTTATTTGGTCAGATTGATACAATTCTTACTTTTAGACCTGATCACAACCAGTAGAAATATAAACTGTCAAGTATTTATTAATTATTTAGTTTTTTATTTTTATTTATTTTTTTTTTCAATTTCTATTTTATGTCCACAAACTTATGTATTAGTTAAGTAGATGTTACCTGATAATAATGTAGCATATATGAAATGAAGATGCCTGTATTATGGATAATAAAATTGCTATGTATTAGAAAGACATTTTGCATGAACCAAAACAAATTATTTCCCTGCAATTCATTCTCCGGGTGTTTGTTCCCATGGTAACAGGATGGTTAACGTCATTATTAAAATGTCGAACAGTAATAGTGGCCATGGCAGAACTTGATTTATATCTGTTGCCATTGTTCCTCCTTACTTCCTTTACTTAATTTTGTTAATTAACAATAATTATGGCACATATTGATAATATAACATACATGATACAAGTAACTCTATGATGCAGCGGAACATCTTTGGGTTTCCAACCGGATGGTCATGAGCCCAGTTGCAGCTGGCAACATTTCTCGCGTCCTAGGGTAAGACAATTTCTCAATAGCTTGGTTCACGTCAAACTTTATCTAGATATATCCGTCTTGAAACATGATACGATAATCCCCTAATTGCGTTCGATGCCAAGTTAGAGCCAGATAAACAGCCAGCAAGTTTCAGGCCGTTGACGTCACACGGTGGAAAGGCTTGTTTAATAAAACATTACGAACCTTTAGTACCAAGTGTTATTCGTTCAAAAAAAAATGTAAACTACTGTAGAGAAGATGTGAGTTTCCACTAACTAACCTAGCCGACCAGTACGAACCAACGACAGCGCAGCAGCGTGTTCTATCGTAATCTAAGTAGTAGATTCTCTAGGCCCTAACTAAATTGACCTTCGATAAAAAACGAATTATTTTAATCGGTTTTAATTTTCATTAAAATGTCTGTATACTTTAAGAACCTTTCTGTCCTGTTTTGTAGTTTTTAGATCGCTCAGTTGTTGTTGTTTACATGCACTTCACGAAAATCTAGCTTCGCGGTGTCAAATAAGTTGCTGACTTCCACACACTTTTTTATTTCGTCATCGTAAACATGTGCGCTCATTTTAACGACTGGCGTTGGTGGTAGTTCG